ACAAAGCCTCGTTCCGATCTTATCGCATTGGTGAAGTTGGAAAGGGAACATTTTATAAACTTGTGAAGAAAGGTGAAATTCCAAAACAAAGACCTTGGATTTTTTTCTTTGAAAAATTTTGATTTTTGGGTACTCTAAAAGCGCATGGATCTATTGATCGCTTGAGGATAAATACTATTTCAAGCAGTGTATGTGAAATGTTCTAGTTCGAATGTGTAACTTTCCTGGCTATGACCTGGCTCCCATCGACGGTAAAAAAATCCTAATATTTGCTAGCGGACTTTCTGAAGAAGGAGTGATAGAAGAAGATTCTCATGATATTTCGAACCATTTGGGTATAATCTTAATCGGTGATGTGATTTCTATGCTACAGTGTTAAGCTAGTATCTATCTATCTATCTAATATATAAAGAATCGTAAACGCAATTCAAAAATGTGCACATAGCGGGAAACCACGTGGCGGTCCCGTAGCGCGCGCATGCTACTAGCACCTTCATTTGCTGGTTCACTAGTTCCAAGTCAAGAATCGTCGCCGAGAAGAGACTAGGGCAACAAAATATCCTCAAACTGTTGAGGACAAGACCACAGAAGATAGTAGGTTTAAGAGGGAAATTCACCGATATTGCTTCATACTGTTGAGGTGTCCTTCGAAATGCTTTTGACGCTTACGAAACAAGCTTGAAACTGACATCAATCATTCTACCAACCAAAGTACCCAGAAGAAAACCACTGGAAAGAACGCGGGCGTTTAGGAGGTATGCCTCCTTCCAAAAGGATTCGCGCTAGCAATGACGCTTGTAAATCCTGAAAGAAAATTTTTTCTGAGATTCTAGAAGATACGTTGAATACAATAAACGTTTGCCAGAAAATGCTTCACTTTATCACATAAGAAGACCATAGAAACTGTCATGACACGCAGCTATTCTTTGGCGTGAAAACGCAGGACCTGGTCCATCATTCTCAAAGTCTGAAGTAAAAATACAACAGCATAACCTTTGCTTTCGCCGCCCTTTCCAGTTCTAATCGCATACTTCACAAAATTTGAAGTCGAAAACAAGGATACCGAAGTCATTAGTTTTGCCCTAGAATTGAAAAATCTGCATTTTTTCTACTTGAGTTCCGCGAAAGCCTTTGACGAGATCTGCGGCTGGTTCGACTAATCGCACTTTTCCATGTTTATTGTCCATGTGTCTTACCAGGGGAGAGTCCTCAGTTGAAGTGGTGTTAGCAGCCGAGATGCATACATTCTGAGCGGAGTTCCTCTGGGTATGGAGTTACGAGCGTTTTATGAGTCAAAAGACTGGACGCCAGTTTAGAGTAAAACCAATGACGGCAGCCTTTCCAACTCGCAGATGGATCAACGACGGACAGCGGCTAAGACAATCGCCCGGGGTAAGCGGCTATGCGATTTATAGGCAGGCATGCACCGGAAAAATAGTTCGCTGATTTTCTGCGGTCGCTTACAAATAGTTGGAAGAATGTTGGCCACTCTTAAGACGAACGCTTACAAGGGAAGGATACTAACTTAGATTCGGCTTTTGAGATAAGAAACACATTGGGATCAGATTTGAACGCTGGTTCCAAATATGCTGTTCGTAGCTGCTTAGCATTATTCCGAAGCGGGTTATGGGCTTGCTACCCTAGAGTAGGCGGAGCACTGCCGACATACGCGCATAGCGGTCTTTGATAGCTACAGTAAACAGTGCCCTAGAATGGAGGTTCTTCGATAGATCAATTGTCTGCGTGATCCGCCTACTCTATCTCAAGCGAGCGCCCTATACTTTGGCTCGGCGTACGCCCGAGACTGTATATCTAACAAGAATCAGAGAGCTCGCTGAAAATTTGGCCAGCGTCGCTAGAAGGAATTATTTGACGACCGTTCGCAGATAATCGTGTATTGCTGTTCGCTGGAAGAAAACGTGACAGTGGAGGAAGTACCGCCCGCTGATGGTTTGGCCACGCTCCAATCTCCTGGCCGCCTGTAAGAAAGCTCGAGTTTGAGTGCCTGCCCGCGGCGATTTTTTGAGGGTGTAGCAAGCAGTCTTCTCTTCATAAAAAAGATTTAACGTCACCACTATTCCACTTAAGTTCAAAGTAGTCTATAAACGGTTTTCTTCCAACTATGCATTTCCAAATTTCGCTAGAAAATTCTCATAATTCACTTGGTCTTCGATAATGCCTTCGGGGGACTATGTTTGAGTTACTGAACCAGATGGGTTGTCTAGGCGGCGTGGCAAAAGTTCAAGCTCAGCCGCTTTTCCTCGCAGGGGTACTTGGCACCTCCAGAAATCCCTTGAAGGACATCACACCTTCTCGGGGCCAAAGGTCGGCTCCGCCCACCACTCTTCCCTCTAGGTGCCCTCATTCTGAATTGTGTACACGCACTGTAAGACATGCATTATTGTATATGAGATGATAGAACTGGAATCGAGAAACAAAAAAAAAATTCTAGGTTTTAAAAGGTTCAGACTCCATAAACGACCGCAGGTGAATTTCAGGTTATGTTTTACTCATGTTTTCGGATAGGCTGACGCTTCCTTAGAAACTTTTGAGCGCCTGACTAAGTTTGTGAAACATATCGCATTGATATAAATTGAGCAGAAGTTATGAGTCTTCCAATCACGGTATATAACAGAGAAGTTAGTTTATTTTACGCAAGTTCTGAAATCATCTAACAATATGGCGAATTACCATATCTTGCAAATTCAGTGTCGCATTTGGAATTCCTAGTCAATTCTTCAATCACGCAACGAAGTTTGGTATTCTAGTAGATCGATTGTAGGAAATACAAAATTTCTTCATGATAATTTGGGCCTTACTGATCATTAGTATAATCGGTATGAAACTCATTCGAATATATGATGGCAGACAATAAAAAAAATGTGTTTAGATATCCTATCTGTTGGATAAAGCGTTAAGCGCTTGCTCGGAAACTTTGGTGCACTTTTTTCAAAATAGGACCTTCTATTGTTGAGAAGTAATTGGGTTCTGAAACTCCTGATGCTAAAGTACTTCAATCATGACCAGTAATGTACAATTTATCGACTAAATTCTCTAATATTTCGAATGACCGCATTTTCCATTCAAAAAAATTCTCTGCTATTTTACTCTTCTTAAAGTAATGTTCATGTGCTCTTTTTCAAAAGGATTGCATAGCAGAAGTTTCCAAGCCGCCTTACTTAAGAGATGTTAACTATGCTCCGTTTTTTCTCCTTTTTTTATCACCTCAGTACCTGAATTTACGTTCTCGCTGCTTGCACGCCTCACAATGAGACCAGTAAATGGGAGGAGCAATAGGCGGGTCCTGACCTCTGAGGCCCGGAGGTGCTAGAACCCTCCTGGGTGCATATGCTGGTGCGAAGTTGGTGCGAGGAAAGGTGCTAGGAACTCTTGCACGCCCTCTGGTTGTCTACATTGCAAGGGTGTGCTAGACATTATGAAAAAACCGAATTCTGAGATAAATCGTGACCTTTATGCAAGGGTTAGCAAAATGAAAACACGAGTTCAAAAAACCCTGTAAAAATTTTCGCATTTAGCTGATGCGTGTCGGGCCACCTGCGGACGCATTTATCGGGTTATTGCTTTGCTGGGACATCCGCGCGAAGTATATATCAAAGCATCTGTTTCGCCTCCACCCTGAGACAGAAAAATCAAGATAACCGCACTCGAGGCTCATAGTAGGGAGGAGTGGTGGAAAAAATAAAAGTGGTCTTCTTGTATGTTTGAGCCCCTAAAAGCGTTTTTTTTTCTGGATTTTAGGGCATAACTGAGGCCAGCATTTTCTTAGAGAGAAAAATGCTTCTTCAGCGTAAAGTGTTTGCCACTGGGAAGCTTATTTTACTTTCTGCACTTTTCCTTATCCAAACTCCCCTCATTACGGCTCCCCCCCCCCTTCACCTTAGGTGGGTGTATGTCAAGAGACGCGATTTTTATCGCCGCTGGACACCAAATGGCGCATAATAAGGGCCGCATGCACTAACATCCCTGCGGCGAGGGGAGCGGCGTCCCCAATGATGAAAAAGCCGCAGCGGCGTCCGCACGCGGTCCCTTCATAACGGGGGACGCCGCTCCCCTCGCCGCAGAAATGTTAGTGCATACGGGCCTAAGTGTTCTGCAACTTTCTAAAAGTATATGGAATTTGGAAGAAGATATATTAGATAGCTCCATGAGTTGTTCAATCTTGATACTTTGAAAAAATTCAAAAGAGCAATTTCGAAAGTCAAAAACTCATGAAAATACATTTCAGAACAAATTCGTAAATATTTCATTCCGATTTACGGCAAAAACCATGAAACTCAGCAACTGGTGACCTCAGGCAGAGAGGAGCTAATGCGCTTTATCTGGTCATTTTTGAAGACTCGCATAGCCCTAAATTGGAGTCTTAAATTGGTGACAACCGGAGAAATCGCGCCTCTTGACCGTCTCCCCACCGTAGGTGACCTCAGTACAACCCTCCGTTGCGACGGTCGCCTCAGAGTCTTGACTCTGCTCCTGACCCGTAGTCGCGGTCAAATTTTGTGCCTCACAAAAACTCTCCGTGCTAATAGCATAGCCAGGGTAAGGGAGTGGGGATGCAGATACATGCGGGGGCATATAAGTATCTAACATTGCGCCATGAGTACTGACGGAAGCTGTTGTAGTACTTGATGTCGCAGCATTTCTTCGCGGCATAACGTAATTCTGACCCGTACCTCCCTGACACCGGGTTATGTCGAAAGGCTTGCGTTTCGGCGTAGTAAATGAGGAGGTATAAAGGAGAATTACGTAGTTTAGGTCTGGAAGGACAAGCTAGTCAAACTTTTTGTGCTCTTAGTCAATGATAGTCCATCGATATGGGCCATTCGACCGTCTCCCCTTGACCCATGACCCACCCGTATCGGGGAGGGGGGGGGGGAGAGAAAAGAGGGAACGGGAAATGCGCTCTAATGTAAAGGTTTTGCAGTGGAGCACACTATCTACAAAAGATAGCCACAGACATGGAAAAGCTGTGCATCAGGATAGCTTTCTTGACTTGGCAGCGTAGAAGTCAGCGAAGTTTGAAATCACACGCGTATGTGTCAGTCACTTCATGTTATTGAGTTTTGATATTAACAATTTTCTTGCATTTTTAGACTTCAACAAAATGAAGGAGAGGCACCTCGGCTGCAAGTTGGAACCCAGCAAAGTGCTAAGGAAAACGCACAAGAGTTGGGAGCAGCTGAAACGCCACGACCCAGACGTGGAGATTTCCGAAGATCCTACGGAGGTGAGCATACTCCACTCACAGTCATAGTTTTTAAAATTTCTCAATTAGCATCTGTTTGTGAGCAACAGCAGCGTCCTTTGTGGTGTTTCCTTGGAGGAACTTGAAGAAATCTTTTATCCTTTTGATGAAAAGGCTACCTTCACTGTTTTCCCAAATAAAAGGCAAGTAGTGTGAATCTACTATGTGTTCAAAATCTTGAAGAATTGTCTTTAGATCGTACTCATTTGTGAGCTTTTCAACAAAAGATAAAGCTAAACTCGCTCGCGATAGTCTTCATGGCACTGTACCAGCACAGTTGAGAGTATCTCATCAACCATTTCTCCTCACGTATGTGCGGCAATGTGAGTTTGAACTTTGTCAATTCCCACTCTTTGAAGGGGAGAAAATCACGCTTCTTTTGGACTTCTGCTCATCTGTTAACCAAAAAAGCAATCTGGGCTTGGGTGCAAACCTACAGCGTTTTTAGCCGAAGAAGCGTCCGAAGAGAATTTGCGAATTTTCAGTGCCGACTGGTGCGGTTCTCGAGGATCAGCTGGTGCCGAAAGATCTTGTCCTAGTAGAGGACTACATAACAGAAGAAGAAGAGAAAGATCTTTTAGATCTAATTTTTAAGCATGAAGATGGTAGGGGGTTTTTTTCCATTGTTTCGTCTTCTATATACTCGGATATATTTTAGCGAAGCCGCTCAAACATCGAGCTGTCATACATTACGGTTACGAATTCGACTACAGTAGAAACGCTGCAGTCAAACCAACCAAGCCTATTCCTCCATTGATCAATCAGCTGATCGATAAATTAGTCACCGATTCGCATGTTACCTATACACCTGATCAAGTAAGACTTCATGTTATGTATAGATGATTTGCAATTGTTTGAAGATGGTACAGGTGACCATCAACGTTTACGAACCTGGGCAAGGTATACCATCGCATTATGATACTCACTCTGCATTTGAAGATCCTATCGTATGCGTAAGGTAATCTACTTGTTGCTGCTAATGCAGGGATTACCGTTGCTGTTTTTTCAGTTTATGTTCCGATATCGTCATGGAATTCAAAGATGGAGCGAATTCGGCACGGATAGCTTCTGTGCTTCTGAAAAGGCGATCATTGTGTTTACTTCAAGGTGAAGCAAGATACCGCTGGAAACATGGGTACGTATATCACATGGTTTATCACTGTAATTCTTTCCATATTTTGGACGTTTGACTTGTAACTCTCATTTAAATGTAGAGAACTTTTTTAGCCAACAATGTGAAGAATTGCAGAATTGTGAATCGAAAGCATGATATTCATCCGGTAACACACCGCGTGGTGCCTCGTCAGCTTCGAGTCTCAGTCACGTTGAGGAAAATCCGAAAAGAGCCTTGTCAGTGTCCATTTAAAGAATTCTGTGATTGGGATAGAGAGGGTAGGTTGCATTCTTGTCTAGAAGTAATCCTAGATTGTGTTGGAAATTACAGGAGAGATGTCAGTTCCCTCTGACAACAACTCAGCTTTGCGTATTGAGGGTCAATATGTTAACGACGTGTATGAAAATATCGCTGCTCATTTCGATGAGACTAGGATATCAGGATGGACTGCTGTTAAAAAGTACCCTAATACTGTGATAAGTGGTCTATCTTATGTCGATAATTTGCAGGTTTATGAATTCTCTAGCTCCCTACTCTGTCGTATATGATGTCGGCTGTGGCAACGGAAAATATCTACTTATCAACGATGACCTGCTTAAGGTTAGGTTCTTTTCAATTTTGGTACGAAGATTCGCAGCATCATCAAGTATCGTTATACAGACACTTGGGATACTTTTCAGCGAGTAGCTGTTGATTGTTTTGTTTAGATCGGTTGTGACATGAGTCAAATGCTATGCAATATCGTCCATGAAAAAGTGAGTCACTTATAAGTGCGATATTTTGTTATGATTTAAGATTTTCGAGTTGTTGTCTCTATGTGAGTCTAATATCAATCACTTTCATGACGACAGCGTTTAGGGGCGTATGGTCGTACGCGCAGATGCACTGTCTCTTCCATTCCGAGAAGTTGCAGATGCTGTGCTATCTATAGCTGTTTTACATCATATGGCCACGCTGGAGCGACGACAGAAAATGATCAGTGAAATCCTTAGGGTTGGTTTCTCTCACTGGACAAGATGCTCCATACCAAGTATTTCATATTTCATGCTTTTAGGTTCTCAAGCCAGGCGGGCGCGCCTGCATCACCGTTTGGTCGATGGATCAAAGCAATTCTCAGTATGCGAAGATGAGGGATAACAAAGTGAGAATTTGCCTATTCACCACTTTTACAGAGCTGTAAAGTCGTAGATTGAGAGTAGAAGGCTTCTCGCATACATTAGTAATACACTGCAGTATAAGCTTCGACAGTAGCCGAGATTTAAAGCAAAAATTCTGGTTTTTTTGAAGACAAGTCCTCCCTACAATTCAGGATTCTGCCGCTGGGGACGTTAAAGCACCAACCAATTCAGATCGTCTAAAGGTTCACGATGGGAAAGAGTTTGTACAACAAGATCTTTTGGTACCTTGGAGAATTGAAGAAGCCGATAAGACGTTCATGAGGTATTTCTTAACTGAGCTGGTGACCTGACAAAATTTTAAATTATTATTCGACAAGAAAACACCAGCTTTTAGGTACTACCATGTATTTGCGGAAGGTGAGATGGAAGAGCTCCTGCGATCTGTTGGCGGCTGTGCAATAGAAAGCATCAAAAAAGAGCAAGGAAACTATATAGCTGTGATAACAAAAAATTAAGGGTTGGTATGTGGGTTTTAAATAATCGTTACTGTTGTCGCCTTGTGATTTTGTTACTTATGACATGCCAAATGTCTCAAACATAAAATTATATATTCTTTTACACATTTGAAAAATATGTAACAATTGACAGACAATAACAAAACCTATGAAGCAGCTTGATCTGAGTTATATTCTGCTTGAGATCGGACATACTCAGCCATGTGTTTGAATCGCCATTTGCATTCCTCCATTCCAAAAAACGAGACCAGTTCTTTGATAGGTGGTCCTTTGGTGCTATCAATGAGAGACACCCGTACTAATGTAAAAAGCTTAGTATAGATCCACTCCAACCGCTGAGCCATTTCTTTGAGCGCTCCAGTTTCCAGCGATTCTCAAAATATAACTAATTCTCATAACGGCTGTATAACTTGGAAAGTTGTTATGAGTAACCAACCACATTTTCCTAGGCACTCCAAAGCTTCCAGTGCTCTTTGGCGATCGAAAAGTGATAGCACTTTTGCTGCTGAACATGGTTTGCTCAAAAGCCATTTGAATTCTCCCCTCGTTAGCATCGATAAAAAAGCAAATTTTTCTTCATTTTGCTTTAGAAACCGTAGCACCTATGAAAGTAAAGGTAGGTGTGGAAGACCGATAATTGCTTACCCTTCTCAAATAGTCATCATCAAATCCCAAATTCTTCAAATCCGAGTCACGATTTATATGTTCTTTCAAGGCTGGAAGCAGTACTGCATCAATATCAGCTGCTTGTATGGACATCTTCCCATATCTTTCCAAACATTCTTGGTCCAACTTAAGGTGTATATCCTGAGACGTACTGGTAACTCATAATTTTGATACTACCTGCAAATTCCGTCTACCAACTTCCTTTTCATCGAAGAGTTCCGTCATTTCTGTAAGCGAATATAAGCGACCGGTGTCAAAACCGCGTATGCCACTGCCATTGCGGATCTAAATAAATGGAGGGGAAATTCATATATGATGGTAGTAGCGTATTGAAATAGGATTCAGGAACTAACCAGTAAATTCAGAACAGTTTCTGGAAGCGCTCCTAGATCACGCTCGTAATAGTCAACGAATGCATCTTTATCCCTTTTTGACAGCTTCTTTCTACCATCGCGCATGATCAGAGGCAGGTGTAGGAATTTGGGATGCTGCCATCCAAATGCCCTAAATCAGAGCTGTTCGACAAGAGCAAATAGTATTATTGAAGAAACCAGACAAAATGAGGTCAGTATGGATGTAAGCTTACTTGTATAGTAAGACATGCTTTCCTGTACTGCTTAACCATTCCATACCACGTATAACATGGGATATTTGCATGGCTTGATCATCGACAATATTCGCAAGATGATAAGTTGGAAATCCATCGCTCTTCAGCAAAACCATGTCACTTTCATCTATGCATTGCTCGATGGAGCCGAAGACTTCGTCCTAGAAACGAAAATCTAAATCGAATTGCCTCAGTGCAATGCGATCAGGAATGTCTGCTTACTTGGAAATTGACATTCTGTCTATCCAGTTTGAATCGAACAACAAAAGGTTCACCATTGGAGGCACGAGCTTTTGATTCTTCTTCGCTGATAGAGCGACATTTCATGTCGTACTTTGGTGCGGCACTTCTCCTAACTGCATCTTTGCGAAGTAAAGCTAGACGCTGAAAAACGTATGGACAGAGAACTACGGCAAAGGTGTGTCCTATGCTAATATGCATATGATTTGTACAGCAGTGGCGGACTGAGGGGAAAGATGCGACTCTCTAAAATGGATCGCGAATATTTGGAGTGGTCTACATCAATTATGGAGTTATGCAAGGGACTGTTTCCATTTCTGATTGATTAAACTACTTTGAATTTCCCAGTAAAATTCAAGTTGGGTAAGCAAGGAACATTGGCGCTGCTCCTGACCCGCTTTGAACCACTTTTCAAAATTCGGTTGCAACCGCAAAAATTTGTGGAAGTTCCAAGCATTCTCCCGAGGGGCATGAAATAACGCCACATCTCTTTTTAAATTTTTGTCACTTTTCCTTAAAGTCTCAAGTGGCTGCTGTTGTACACAGTTTTCCACTGCTTGAATTGTTCTGAAAACAATGTTTTTCACTTGAGTCAGTTGCTTCATCCTCTTCGATTTTGGTCATTCTACTGACCTGAACAATAGCGATGTGCATAAGTGGATCATCCCCTTTTATTACTGGTCAGATCAATGACTTGACCAATAATGAAGTGGATCAGGTGGATCAGATATGACGTGCCCTCCGGCGCAAACGCTGTGAAGCTGATGTGCGCTACCCCATTTTTCGGCCTATTAGGCACGCGCCATTCGTTTATTGATCTACTTGAGATCCACTGCTATTGATCAAATCAGTAAACTGACCAATAGCAAAACGGATTCCACTTGTTCCACTTTGCTACAGGTCATTTCACTGACTTAACCCATAGCGAAGTGGATGGAGTGAGTGGATCGAGCAGATACGTGGATAAGTATGGCATGTGCCTTACGGGAAACAGAATATGCTCAGTCCATAGAAACAAATAGAACTCACTTCTTCAGAGCAAAAACAGCGATATGCATGTCCTGACTCAATCAGCTGAGATACAGACTCTTTATACGAAGATAGTCGTTCTGACTGTACATATGGTCCAAATGTTCCTCCTTTGCTTGGTCCCTCATCGTAATGCAACCCGTAATGTGTAAGGACTCGCTCGATCTGATTCAAATAATTACAGAAGGAGCATTCAGAGGAAAGATTATAATTTTTACTTCTTCTGCACTTCCTGGAACTAGCCTTGCCTTGTCTGTGTCTTCTATGCGCAGTATAAAAGCCCCTTTGTGATGACGGGCGAAAAGGTAATTGTAGAGCGCTGTCCTCAGCCCTCCAAGATGCAGATGACCAGTGGGACTAGGTGCGAATCTCACTCGGATCTGAACATTGACAGTGAGATCCCTCTTGCTTTTTGTGCTCTTTTGCTATTGACATTGATTTCTGCACATCTCGATTCATTTTGATTAGTAAATTCCGCCTCTCTAAAGTGCTAAAATGATATATCGTATTGGCCTGCTGAATTAGGTGAAAAACGGAATACACATAGCCGTCCAGTGAGGGTGCGAGCTACAGTTCAACGAATTCTGCCAGCGATGTGTGTAACTGCACAACGTACGTAACCGAGTCTCGTCGACAATAATGCGCATTTCTCCGACGGGCACACAAATGTCTCCTTTTTTATTCAGTTCTATTTTGGCTCATTAACAGTACCGATAAGGATAGCTGTCTAGATAATACAAAACACATGTGGACGCCCCCTCCCCCCTCCTCACATTATCTTGGAAAAAAAGGTATTTACTCTTGCAAATGTCAGTCATGCGCTTGATCTCAAAAGAGCAAACTTACCTGTCCTGAGCAGAGAAACCTTGTGGACACGAACCAAATCATCTGGTTGACACTGAGTCACCGCATAATTTGACAGTGATACTGTACGTAGTAACTGAAAACAGAATACAAAAACTTTACTCCTGATTATTAATTACACAAAGTCTGCAGATAATTATCATCAGGGAAAATCCGAACAACTGCCAATTCAATGCAGAATTTGACGTCTGACGCGACTGGCGCGCCCTAGCGTACCTTCCTGCTCCATGCAAAACGAAGAACCGAAAAAATTTTGTCATCGTTTTGTATCGTTTTCGTTTCTGCGTTCGACTGAATCCGTTTATACATCATTTGTAACATGTTAAATTGAATAAACGTCACTGTTCGAACTAACATTTTGTAGGTTCGAAATGAGCGCTATGTTTTCAACGTCGAGGTCTACGCAAGGAGGTTCTTCCTCTGGTAATTTGGTCGAATTCAAGGTTTGTCTCAAGAATTTGATAAACCCGACCTCTGAAGTGCAATGTTTTTCATGGCAACGGATCTAGAGGCCTCGAAATAGCAAATGCAAAAACCCAGCACACTTGTGCACCTTTACATCGTTGCCATCGATTAGGAGCTCGAAGGCATCTACCCATATTGAGACTGATGGCTTTTGATGTAGTAGATAGCGGACTCCTAACTAGATCCGCCCGGTAGAAGGAGGATTCCAGAAGAAAGAAAATTGCTTCAGAAAGTAGAGGCGGCAGTGGTGGCTGCGTCCATCAACGGGGTGGTTTGAAGGTGATATGTCCGAAAGTGGGCCCTCAATGTAGATAAAAATGTTGATAATGGATTCATCATAATGAAGACGGTTTTCCTACAACTGTGGATACAGTGAATGACATTTTTGAATATGTCTCTTCCTACGACCACTTTGCAAGGGTCCCCTCTATAGTATCAAGGTATCAGCCACAGGGTTAGCACTTTGCAAGTATACAGACCCGGTGTGACATGATAAGTAAGTATATACCTTTTGATTTAAATGGATTGGCGGCTGGAAGGCGGGACTTCGAGGCCTAGTCAGGCTAGAGAATGGTCAGAGAATACGCTTCCGAGAGACTTCGTCGCGGTCGCCTTTGAGACGCCATCTTTGAATCAAAGGGTATGGCCAAGTCCTGGCTTAGTTTCCGCGATTGAATCCAGCTCGATGGTTAGAACAGGTGCTACACTTGTGTACAATTGAATTGATTATATGGTCTTCATAGTGAAACTCAGCGATAGAATCCACTTATATAGACGCCGTAAAACCTAATTGCCCGCGCCTTGAACACCCAGCGTAAGCGAGCGGTCGTTGCGAACGACTGTTGGCGTTCACTATATTCCAAAAAATCTTTCTTTAACTTTCATGCTGTTCTCGTCAATGCAAGGCATATCTTGACGAAAGCTTCCTTCAGAATTTTAGAAAAATATGTGTGGAAAGGGCGCGCGCTCATTGTCGCTCGCAAAATGCCTGTAGCGCTTCGGGACCAAACGTTTCCAGCTCCGCCGCACTTTGGTGTTCAAAGCGAAGTGTGAGCAATTGGATTTTACGCGGCCTGTACCTATAAGGAAGCAATAGCTTCTTTACACGTGATTCGGTCTCAAAGTACGTTTTAGGCTGGCCGCTCATTTTTGCAACCTGCTTCCGCACCCAACAAGAAGAAGGTCAGTTTTTCAGTGTTTTGAAGTTGTGTGTAAGCAAAGCTATAGGCATTTTTACCGCTATTCACTTTTTCTTTTCGTCTAATTCTTGGATAAAAAAATCACAAAACATTCAGGTGGTTGCTGATAAAACGAAAGGTCTTGTTTTCATCAAGCAGTCTAACGATCAGCTGATGCATTTTTGCTGGAAAAATAGAGAAACTGGAGCAATCGTGGATGTACGTTCTGATGACAATTCTGCGTTGAAAATAACACTAGCATTCAGGACCTCATAATATTTCCCGGTGACACTGAGTTCAAGGAGGTGAAGGGCTGTCCTGACGGCAAGGTCTACATGCTGAAGTTCAAAACCTCAGACGAGCGTCGTCTGTTTTGGATCCAAGATGGCAACACTGATGCTGACAAGGACCTTTGTCAGAAGGTGACGTTTTATGAGCTTGCTCATTCTCGTCTTACCTCGACGCAGCTAAGATTTACACTTCAGGTCAATGATGCTTTGAACAAACCCCCAACTACTCGTGCCTCCGCTCGTGGAGGCTCTTCGGAGCGTGCTACTGGAGGTCTGTCAACAGCTAATTTGGCAGGTCTTGGAGGCAGCGAGGTAACTCAGGCTCACTTTTGATTCTCTGGGTTATCTTATCTCAATAGTGGATGGGCTTTTTATGTGTATAGTATTGTAGGAGCTTGGTGCACTTGGAGGCCTGGACCAGCAACAACTTATGCAACTGCTGCAGTTCATGAACCAGGTCAGTGATGATAACTGTTTTTTTTACTATTTCTAATTTCTGCTTCACAGGGAAGTTCTGACTCGCCTTCTTTGGTGCCGCAGATTCCATCCGGGAACAGTGGTGAACGTGGATCTTCGGGTGCTCCCAAAGGTTTGGCGAAAAACATAAAACTCTATGGTTACACATGCATAATTTCTTTTACAGTATCCGCTTCGGAACTCACACAGCTGCAAACATTACTTGGTGGACTTAGAGCTCCTGGCACTGGAGGCAGTGATGCGCAGGGAGCAGAGAGGCCAGTTGCTGTTGAGTTGGGAGACATAGTCGCAGGTGGTCAAGTTGTCGAAACCGCCAAGAATAACGCTGGTAATTTTCTTCTCATACATTGATCAAGCACTGCATCCGTCTTCCCATTCGTGATCTACTAACATGTTTCCTCTTATCACTTTTGACGTTCAAAATACATGCCTCTGTCTTTTTGATTCTACATTCTCAACAGAAGCACCGTCTTTATAGATGTCTGTTTTTTCAGTTTTCCTTGATTGCGCGAATTCAAAAGTGAGTTACAGATCGCCTTTTAAACCATATGCCAGCGGAGGACAAATCTTCTTCGGACACCAAACAAGCGTTAGAAGACACAGTTCGTTCTCCTCATTATAGACAGGTGCCTGTAGTGATGTCAGATATTGCTTCGTAGTGTACTGTTAGTGTTCAAATGTGTTCCTATAAGGGAAGTGCCAGAAGTCGCTGCCTCTTGACATAAAATAGATGTCATCTGAAGCAGCTTGAAACGCCGATTCCAAAACAGCCTTTCTTAGCTGCAAAACGAATTTGGGTCGGGAGTTATTCAGTTTGATTTGCGGGAAATTTATAATGCTGAAGGTGGCTACTTTAAAGCCCATGCATTTTGACTAATTGAAACAGTTTATCAATGCTTAATGTAGTTTCTGCTTCTTCCTTAATTCACGCTTGGGGACCAGCCATACTATTTCTGTTATTCGCGCAGTTCCTGCTTTTCCTGTGATTCTTGCGGGTCCCGCAACAATGTATATTGCGAAAAAATATATTGAAATTCGCAAGGCGCTCCGTAGTGCGGCGCATCGGAAGTCGAGGAATCATAGGATTTGCAGGAATCACCTCTTGGAACAGCATGGCTGGTCCCTTAGTGCTTAAACTGTATTTTTCAGCCCGAAGTAGGCGAAACTTTCCATGTGGGCAGCGCGTTCGCACCGTCACAGACTCAGCGAGATAGTTAGAAAGAGACGCAGACTGCAAGACGGCGCGAATCGTTGTGAAACGGACTCCCGCCAGTTCAAGTTGCGCCTAAACTGAGTAATCTACTATATAACAAGTATTCGTGCAACTTCCATGGTCATAGGGTACCTCTAAGCAGTGTGAAATTTGGTGGTTAGAATGTCTATATTCCCGACTTAGAGTCGTTCTGCAGTTAATGAAGAGTTTTTGAAATTAGCATTTCAAGCTGGCTCGGAGGATACCTTTCTGCAGTTAATGAAGAGTTTTTAAAATTAGCATCAGAGGATACCTATCTCATGGTCAAAAGGTCACTGCGACTTCCTGAGGGACCGGCCTATTATCCCTGCGATTTCTGTGATTCTTGCGGGTCCCGTAAACAATGTATATATTGCGAAAAAAAAACAATGTATACTGTAATTCGCAAAGCCTGTCGTGGTGCAGCACATTGAAAATCGAGGAATCACAAGAATTGCAAGAATTACAGAAGTCGCAGGAATCATCTCCTGGAATAGTGTACAGCCGGTTCTTAACCGTCGTTAGTTTAAACTCTCTTTACAGGCTGCAAATACATTTGGACATGCACTATCAACGGGACAAATGGCACCAGTCCTGGAGCGTTTTGGAATCAGTGAGGATGCCGCTCATGCTGCTGCAACAGGAAGTAGGCTCATTTCGCTTGAGCTTTCCGTAGAATTTTACCAAGTTTAGGGGAGCGGATGACCTTTACATCTTTTTAGCGCGATGTAATAGGAACTTTGCTGCTCTTGAAAGTAGCACCATTCCATCTCTGCTTTGCAAGTTTGTAGGAGGTGAAAACGTAGTTCCATACGCGTGGTCAGCAGAGAAGAGAGGGGAGCCGTAAAGAGGAGAACTTTTTTGTTTGTGCTACATTAGGAGTCCGCAATTTTTCACCACTACCGGTCGTCTTGCTAATGGCCCCATCATCCCTCAATAAACATGCGCGCATCAATGAGCTAATTCTAGCGTTTCTTAAACTCAAAACCCTGTACAAGATTAGAGAGCAGTTGGCGAATGCGCATAGGGTTTGATTGAATAATGGGAAACAAGTTTTCCATCGAAAAACTGTACCGCTCATCAGAGAAACATTTTTGGAGGTACGAGAGTCTTCTATTGATTGAATTATCAGAGCAATCCGTACATGTATTGAAAATTAAAATTGGACCATTTGTGCTTGCTAACCTGCCAAACACTGTTTTGATACACATCACGAAAAGAACAGTTCGTTTGAGCTTTTGAGAAGTAAATCACTCAAGAGATGCGGAATCCAGACGAATTCATGATATATATAAGAAGTCAAATTTCAGACTTGTTTATTTTGCATTCGGATAGCACTTCATACTTTAGGACAAAGTTCTTTGGAAATGTCTTAACTTTGAAAAGAGGTGATCACTACTGGACTCTAAATTTGTTTTCGCCCACTTTTTCTTGCGTGCATAAGAGCCTTGCCTTGGTTATCTAACTCGTTAATCGCTTATATGATCGTATCTTTTCTCTTGATGTTATCAGTTTTATTCCAGACTTGCTGGAATTTGCGAAAAAATTGACAGAAGCTGAACGTGGTGATGAAAAACCCAAAACGGATGCTCAACCTGGTGCAAGCGCAAGCACTGAGACAGCTGCCGAAGGAGAAAAGGACGAGGTCAAGGAGCCAGAACCGAAACGTGGCAAAACAGAAGAGGACGAGATGGATCTTGATTGAGGCTTTGCCTGCTTTTCATTTTTTCTCGTTATCATACCATCTATTCCGTCAACCATAGTTTCTTCTGGCCACATCCATAATGTTGTTGAATTGACATAATCACAATTACTATGGCTACTAATTAACGCATTGTGTAGCACGAGTAGGCAGAAAATATATAAAATCATTGGTGTTTCAACTGTGTACTACATCTTATTGATAATTTTTTCATCTAAAGCTAATTTGTGGCAGTGGCGAAGTTGAAGGACATTGTACGCTGAACTGTCCTCTCAACATTTACCACCACTTAGGAACAGGCTGTGTGAAGTGAGGGAGGGATCGTGGCGTGGTATCAGGCCATTCTGTTTTCTCTGACCTGTTGCGTGGTGTAACCGATAACGCGGCGTCCATCGCTCTCAACCTCTTTTTATCAGTTCGCTATTGCGTCGCCTTGGCCTATCCGTTCGTATGCAGAGTGTCTTGTAGTGAAATAAAGGAGTTCCCGATATGTTTTACAGTTTTACTGTGTTTAGATATACTTCACTATACCGTAACATCCTTATCCCTCAATAGTTATGTAACCTGTCTGATTTTCCTATGGATCCTCTATTCAGATAGGATGTCTTGCGACTGGCTGCTCATAAGCGGTGGTTACTGCGCTTTGGCTTATGTGTTGTACAAAGTAGTTATGGCAGTGTATAACATCCTTTGGCCATATATCATTGCACCACCCATTGATTTGCATGCTGCAGCTGGAGCCAATTGGGCAGGTGAGGAAACTTAGAGACTATTGTAATAATAACGGCACTTACATCTTGTGATTTTCAACAAAGTTTACATGGCGAAAAGTTAAGCTGTGAAAGCGTTCGAAAGGAGCAGACTAGTAGCTGAGCTCTGACTGAAATTATGGTGTTTACATATGGTAGAGGAGGGAAGTTTGGCGGCCGTGAAGCATGGGTGTTGCAAATTAAATCGTTGCAGCTTAAGTAAAATTGCCGAGGATTTTTTAAAGACCTCGCAATCACTGTTAGAAAAAATCATATGCCAAAAAGAAATGGGGGTTCTACTGTCAGATTGCTTGAGAAAGGCCTCGCACCGTTTGCCATCATCTCCAATTGATGCTTACAAAATTTTGCTATACCTCGTTGACTGCGTAACAGATCTACCTCTCTGCTTCTTTTGATTTTTTTCCATACCACTCAGTCGGCTTGTAATGTCAGATTGATTTTCGTTCAAGTGTAATGTTTACGTGTAACTTTGATGTCGAGCGTTTTTGCTACCGATATGTCATCTTCTTTCAAGCTCACTGAAGATCTGTTGAGCAAGGCAGATACTGGAAGCTAAAAATCTTTCTAAGTTGACTGATTTTTGTACGTGATTTATGCTTCCTTGTTTGGTCTATCTATCGAAAAATTGCAAAATGCGTACATGGGAGAAATATATTGTATCTACATCTAAGTCTCCTATCTGGTTGTCACTCAGCTAGAATAGGAATGTCTTTATTCACTGTAAGTTAGCAGATATATTGATATGAAGTCCATTATGAAACAACTCAGTTTTTTTCTACTCTTATAACCATAGACCTCAAACTTCAGGAGAACCCATTAAAGATGCTCTTTGCTAATTTAGTCGTCACTGGTGCAACGGACGGAATCGGAAAGGCATATGCGTTTGAATTGGCTAAGAAAGGTTTTAACATCTACCTTGTTTCCCGTACACAAGCCAAACTTGACGACGTTCAAAAAGAAATTCGTGAAAAGTACGACAAGGTAAATTTATTTTTCATATCTGCGCTTTGGCTTTTCTTGAGTTGTTTGTCTGATCTAGGTCGACGTGAGGACATTTGCTTTTGATTTTTGTAATGGATCTTTGGAAGCATATAAACCGCTTTTGAAAGCTTTGAATGAAGTAGACATTGGAGTACTTATCAACAATGTTGGAATGAGCTACGAATATCCGGAGGTAAGTAGAGATGAAAAAATGCTCCGTTTTTTTTTCAAATGAAAAGCTTAGTTCTATTTAGCGATTGCACAAAGTTGAAGGAGGCATTGAACGATTGGGACAAATCACTACAATCAATACACTTCCACCTACTATGGTAAGTTTTCGATACATGATGGTAGCTTGCGATTGACGCGAGTATTTGTGCATATCCTGCTGACTCTAGATGGGTCACAAAAAAGTTACTTTCGTAAGTATCAAAATTGTGCAAGAGACTTTTTTTACTTAAAGATGATCAAACTAAAATGAATCCGTTGAAAATACGAATCCTGAAGATTTTTCGAGGTGCTTCTGGTTGCATCTTGCTAGAATATGTCCAAGTAATCTTTTTCCAAAAAAAAGTTGTGACAAGGAGATAGCTTGATTTGCTTACATATAATTGTGAGTACTGTCCCTAACCGCTATCTTACAAATGTCAGCGAATCTACCTCTTCCATACACGGTTTTGGATTTGACAGGAGCCAGAGTCACTTTGGCGATATAGAACAAAGCGTAGAACCTTGTTAACCAGTTGTTCTAGCTTTTCTCTGTTACTTCCATCCAGTGATCTGTGGATATCCGAAAATAGCACTTTCCTAGGCTCTGCTCATATTATTTTTCTTCTACTGGAAATCAACTTTGACAATCGAATATTTTTAGTTGACGGCTTCTTTGTTGGAACAAATGCTCTCACGGAAGAAAGGCGTTGTTGTGAACGTTTCTTCAGCTGCCAGCTACAACTACATGCCATTATGGGCTGTTTATTCCGCAACGAAGGTGAGCTGCTCACCGTTCCTTCTATCGTAAAGATCGAAAATCAAAAGATAGGAAAACAAAGCAATTGTGTTTGTACTTCGAGAGTCTGGACACATCATGCAACTTATTCCAGAAATATGTATCGTGGTTCACCGAGATTCTCCGCCTTGAATACGCTGGCTCTGGAATCATATTTCAAACGATCTCGCCAATGATGGTGGCCACAAAAATGAGCAAAGTAATGGAATCCTCCGCGATTGGGGCTTTCGTCAGACATTTGTTGATGCACATGGAATTTTGTCTATGATTAAACTTTTTGAGGTACGCAGAACGTCTTACTTCACTCCAAGCGCTGAGAAATTTGCTGCTGCTGCCGTAAGAAGTATTGGCCTGGTTAGCGAGACCACTGGTTATATGTCACACCAAATCCAGGTAAAATCTGCGTTTCTTTTTTTATTTAAACTTTCGTTCTTGGTTGAAGTTGGCCATCATATAATCTGATATTTTAGCAAGAGCTGTGCAACTTCGTTCCAAAGCCCATCTTTAAAGTCATGATCTTGAAGTTCAGCGAAAACACTCGCGCAGCTGCTCTCAGGAAGAGAGCAAAATCTCAGTAATCTCGCCGTGTTGCTCAATATGTGTTGTGCGCTACACCTTTCATTAGTATTAGTGCGCAGGAATAATGTTCAGATTTATCGTTGTTGGTGCAAGTTTATTTGTACGAAATCTACTTAATTCGCAAATATTTTGCATTTGACAATGAAATAATTTTTTTCTGTCTTGGTAAAAAGAAACAGCAGCGCTTGGATATTGGACATTCATAATCTAGAGATGTCAAAAATCTTATTTTCAAGATATAAAAGGTGAATTTGTTGGGATCTCTCGGGTACTTCAGGTCACTTATTACTTACAATCACTCTTATTGACTTGTGGAACAACAGATTTGCATTAAGTTTCTAAAGCAATGAAATGCTTCTGATTCACTTTTTACAACTAGGCACTTTACTCCTCAGCGTAGGTTTTTGAAGAAATTAATTGTCAAATACCGCGAAGGGTCGTCTCCATATCTATACGAGAAGGCAGCTTAAACTTCTTGTTGCTAACAAGGGAAGCCTTTTTGATCGAAGTGGCTTTTTCGAATGAGTTCTATATCACTTTGAAGAGCATTGAACGTTGATTTCAAATCTGCTTCCCTTTTCTGCGAAAAACTCTCTAGAAGAAGTCGTGAATGTTTCAGCGAATAAGTTTTTGAGTGGCCAAACAGCGAAAACCTGTAAAAGCACCAAAGAGGCTGATTTTTTCGTCTTAATTACAAGGAAGGTAATTAGCCAGTGAGAATCTGCATATGTTTTATAGAATTTTGCTAATTTTATGCCACCCAGAGCTTAACAAATTAGGACAAACGCTCACAACTTCCTCCATAAAATTATTCCGCAGAAAATGAGCAGATTTGGAATGAGTGTTCACTGCTCTTTAAAGTGATGCGGCACTCATTTGAATAGGCCACTTCGACTAAAAAGGCTTTCTCTGTAAGTTTACATCTGATAAGGAAAACTCCGGTCATTATTCGAGGAGTTTGATCATCGGTTCACCTGACTCCCATACTTGTAATGGAAAATGTGGTAGAGGGGGGCAGAAAACGATATCAAATTGACAAAAATGGCTCTGGTCTTTGCTTTCGTATTTTTCTTAAGCATGAAGTGGACGAAGCAAGAAGCAGAAGTCATACTGCTATCTATATAGATCCATGAAAGTAATTTTGCTACGTTTACCAGGTCTTTTGCATATTTATTTTCTGTCATTGGCCTAAGAGAAGGAACTCCAAAAATTAGTTCTACAGACTGCATATTTGAGCGTTTACTCTTTTTCCATGGTTGATATGAAAGTATACTTGCAAGATGTACGATAACAATCTCATCTGCATGGTGTACTGGCTGCATCTGTACGGAGAATTTATCGGCTGTCTGTTCATAATGATACAGGACAAAAATCCGAGATATTCACAAACATCTAAAAATCAGGTGAACAGACCCGCCCATCAATCATCGACATTGCGCCTATAAAAACGCGACCAGGATGTTCAAAGTGTTCATAGGGCAGCTGTCCCAACTAAGTTTCCATAACGCCTTGGGTAGAAGGCAGGCCTATGAGAAGAACATTAGGAAAAACACAATGGTTTTCAGATCAATTGGACGAAAAGCTCTCTTTCGCAAGCATTAACATCCATGTTCGTCTGAAACCCGACTTTACACATAGAGAACTCTTTTGGGCATGACCTAGGAAAAACGAAGGTCGGCCTTCAAACTATATGCAGATGCTTAAATGTTCGGATTCGAAAATCCGTGTGTCGGAGTTGACAGCCTATGAAATCAGTCGCAGAAGTTCATTACAGACATCGTAATTACGGTTTCGACCTTTTTTTTTGAAATCTAGGGCTCGGTCAGAGAGCGAAGAAGAATCGCACTGCTGTCTTTGTCGCATTCTTGGACGGATTCCCGATGACATAATGTTTTTGCTCCATCATCCAGAATGATGTATGAGATAGATGACTGAGCTAAAAAATGTCCTCATTGTTCTTCTTGTTAGAAATTAGTGTCACTGAAAAATCTGACGATAGAAGAAGAGGAGGTGATGAGAAAAGTACGAAACACCAACTGCGCAAGAACCTTTTTGATAGTTCGAAAAGTAGGACATTCCTGCGCACAATATTCTAATGATCATACAACTCATTCCAACTCTCCTCCAATAAAACCAGCGTGGCTACTACAAAATCCAACAACCACTTTGTTTTAGTTCTTATAGTGTGGCAGCGATAGTCAAGGATTTTTGGAGAGGAGAGGGGGCAAATCTGGCGAATGAAGGGCAGGATCAGCCAGTTCCTCGCTAGAATTTTTAGGATGTTTTGCTAATCTTTAGTGCGCTTATCATAAATTTTCAGAAATGGAGGACAAAGCGGCAACTGCATATCTGAAGGTTTTTTTTTGGCTGAGTCAAATACATGTGACTTTCCTTGAAAACATTGTAATCGTACGATCAAAACAAGTTATCTGCACAAATTCTCAACTCGCGAAGAAAAATATCGAAAAATCGAGAGGAGAGACCCTCTCCGGTCTCCCACTGGTCTGGGGGACTGTCCCGTTATGGCTTCATTGATGCCTATAATTTCTGCTACCAAAACTAATACTACTGTTCACAATAGGAGAAATAGAAGAAGTTGCCAGCAACAGCCCGATTTTCTTGGTGTTTCTTCCAGCTCAGACTATAACTCTCAAAAATGTAGGACGACTCTTACATTTGATATAATTATAGTATAACTAGTTAGCACACATCTAGAAGGCAAAGTCTAAACAACATATTACTCGTAATTCTTATCTGGTTCATTTTGTGCACAAAAAGATTCACGCACTTTGGGTACATCTTATATATGAAACTAAATGTCTGTTTGTCTGTCTGTACGTATGTGCGAAATAGAAATTCTTATTTCTGGATCGATCCGGACCAATCTTTGCACACATACACCTTGGGGTGGGACGGGTGGTAGGCTACTTTTCGTTATCGATCAATATCGATTTCAACGACTTTTTGCAAAGTTGGAGCTATGGGGCTGGGAGTTGGCACAGGGGGGTAAGTGAGTATGCTGATTACGAATATGCTATTGACAGGGCCGGACGGAGCGGGTTTACCAGCTAGTTTCCAATACATTCAAGGTGCGCTTAGGACGAAAACTGAAAATCATGCCAACAAATGAGGATCTGATCGTAGTTTCGGGTATGTTTGTCCATTTGCCCTTGCTTTGATGTTGAGTTTAAATATGAAGAGCTAGCCCTCTTGTTAGAGTTCTGGGGTCCGAAGCAGATTTGTACCATCTAACAAGGGAAGGAAGGTTGGCCGAAGTGGCCTTTTGAGATGAGATGTACACTGTTTGGTAGAGCTTGGGACGCTGATTCCAAATCTACCTTTGCTATCTGCTGCGGGCTTCTGGGCGAGGAGTTATGGAGGTTTTTGTGAGTAAAAGGCTGAATGCAAGAGTAGGGTAAAATCAGTCGTAACCTTTTCCCAGCGTTCAATTGAGGCAGCAACGAGCTGGTATATTTTAATCAAGATTATTTGTTGCATCGAGTGACCCCACTACCAATTAAGCCCTATAAAAGATGTTACGTCTGATTTTAGCCTACTCTTGCATTCAAATTTTTACTCACAAAAACCTTCATAACTCCTCGCCCAGAAGCCCGCAGCAGATAGCAAAGGTAGATTTGAAATCAGCGTCCCAAGCTCTACAAAACTTTGCACATTTCATATCAAAAGGCCACTTCGACCAACCTTCCTTTCCTTGTAAATCGGAAGCATAAAAAATTGCGTCAACAAAGGTTGGGAAATCAAAATAGTTAAAAATTTCTACCACAGCTGGAAGAACTTTCAAAGGAGCAAGCAGAATTTGGCGGTACCATACATAGGAGATCTAAGGTCGAGCATGTCGCTGATTTTGATACGATTTTCAGAAAGTGGGAAGAAATCGCACATTTGTGGGTAAGTCTCCAAGTCTACCCTATGATTGCAGATAAGTTCGCTCATCAAAAATCTGGATTCAATCTCAAAGTTTTGTAAATTTAGAAAACTACCAGAAGAAAGAGCTCGCCCATCTTGAAAGCACTTTGGATGTCTGAAGAAACTGCAGGGAACGCCGACTGGAAAAGTTTAGTGAAGGGTTAGGCAACTTGATCAAAAGTTAGTTATTTCTGGAGGTTCTGAGAATATTTTAGATCGGAAGCACATCCTGTGGGGGGAGTCGCGGAAACAACTTTACGTCTTTTCTGGTATGTTTGAGGCACAACGTTTAGAGAACTTTGGAAAAAATAAAACGAAAACGAATCGATGGTGAACGGATAAAGAACAGGTCGAGGGCATCTTGGTAAAACCCATGGCTAAGAAATGAGGTTTCATAGGAGAAAACTGGGTTTTTAACCAGACCCCAAGCATTTCCCTACATGGCTTGAGTGCGCAGTTTATTTGTTTCGTTAATAATTCAAATAATTTCAGCCACCCAGCGAGCATAAAAAATCCTCCTGGAAAGCAAGGCTAAAACCATGCAATCATTGAGAACTTCTCCCAGAAATTTCTCGGACCGCCACTACCCCTTGCAATTAGGTACCTCATTTGTCCTTAGTCAATCAACTTCAAATTTTTCTGATTGTATAGGGGTAGAGGTCGGTTTGGAACCTTCCCCTGACAAAGATCTTCCTAATAGCAACAAATTACAAGGTTCTCCCAAAGATACAAAATTAAACCCGAAATAGTCTGTAACCCGAACTTGGGATGGATATTTTGAATACTAGCTAAGCAAAAATCCCTCGAAGATCGCTTTCTTGAGTTATGAATGCATGTGAGACCAGCAGTTTCTAGAAATGCTTCAAGGCCGCCGAACCATAATAACGAAATTGAGGGAGCGATTGTTGCTTTACTGCTTTGAAGTCCCCTTTAGCGCCAAAACGGCTCGTTTCAATGTAAATTCAAGTCGGTCCTTCCTTTACGTTAAAATGAATCCCCCTTGCACTGACCTTTGTAACAAAAGAGAGACCAAAAGGGAAACAGATTTAATCAGAAGTTAGTGGTTAGATTAATTCACTAATTATATACACGATAGGAAAAACGCCAACGTCATAATTTGGGCTTCAATGTGAAGAACTATGATGTCAGTAGACTAACGATCTTCACACAAACAAACCCTATAAAGTTACTCCAACCACTGGTAGGTAACATTTCTTTACTCAAAAAGGCGCGTTGACGCGCATGAACGAAGACGAAAGCGACGATCAAAGTAGATGTTTCACCTCAATAAACTCACAGGGACACAGACGCAAACATAAATGTTAAATAAGAGAAAGGAACACATGGACCAGCACAATGTGACAAAGTGAGGAAGATGCTGACCTTCCTGATGTACTTTGGAATAATGGAACACACACAAACAGAGTCTTCAACGGAAGAGATGTCCATCCAGCGATTAGAGTAGGGTGTCCATTCGATTAGCTCTCCAAACTATGCATAGTTCTAGACGAAATGAACGACAATCAGGGGGTAGATGAGAAGCAGCCGCCTCCTCGACAATATTTATGCATCAAGCGATCGGCTATCATGCAACTATACAAATAGGGACGAGAAAAAGACGAAGCAGAGGTGCCCATCTCCATCGTTACTGATCAGAACTGATGAATGGTTGACAAGCATTGAAAAAAAAAGAACCAAGCTCGCGTTTCTGAACAGTAAGAAACCGATAACGAGTCACATAAACATCGAAAAGTACTCAGAGGAGACTGGAAACAGGGACAGTGTAAAGGCTGTCGTTCGTCAATCACAGAAGTGATATCTGGACCCATAAGACAGGAGATTACAGACACCACATCGCCAAACTGTATCTGGGAAATGAGAAAAGCTTGAGTTGTTTCTCATAATTCGATATCTTAGATGAAACTCATATAGAAATGTGAACTCATACAATTTTAATAAGAACGATGACAAATGAGCTTGGCAAAGAAAAGCAAAGCGAGATTGCACCTAAACTTCGGCACTGCCGAGCAATTCGCTTCGACACTGCTCTTGCTCAAAGTCCAGATCCATTTCGCGCAAGTCTACACCGTTGACAGCCGGATTCACAACTTTTTCTCGACCTGGCACATTGCCGTCGGGATATATTCGCCGTAACACCTGAAATAAACTTCAAGATGCGAAGAATGCAGAGCTTTAAGCTTACCTCAGCAGGGACATCGGGTGGCGGCGGTTTCCCACCGAAAGGCTTCAACCAGTCATGCTCTAAAGCCTGTGCTGCAGTCACCCTCTCGTCCTGAACAGGGAAATCGCTTATGATAGAATTATTTTTAGACACTTTTTAAGTTATAACTTTTCGACTTCGAAAAGGAATGACACTGCCTATTCACGAGAACTTAAGGATGTGATAGAAATCAGGAAAAAAGAACTCGCGCCTGTAAAGGACGACTCATTCCAATCTCATTCGGCTATAATTTACTTACTCTATGCTCTTGCAAACAACAACTCTGAAAAGTTGCCGATGTTGAAGAAATCGAAAAGTTGCCGATCTTAAGGAAATCACTACTATCTTCGAAGATCGCTTCCAAAAAAGTTATAAGAAAGTTGAGGGGAAAATTGAATATTTGCAGTCAAAGAAAATTTGCTTGAATAGTCGCAAGCTTGAATATTCAAAGGCAAATTATTGACATAAGAAAATTTTTTTGGAAATTTTATTTCCTTACCTGATCGAAGGCAAGCATAGGAATGAGGAAAGATGCAAACTGTCGAGCTTGTTCGAATGGCCAATCATATTTTTGCCGCAATACGTCTAGAAGAGGCCACGGTTTCAGCTGATGAATGTGGAGCAAGCGACCTTGCTGAAGCGCAACAAATGAGAGGCATCGATAATGTACAACGTGATACCTTATTAAAGAACTCCTTCCAGTGTTGTCCTTTCTTATACACTGACGGAGGAATTGATCCAAGTAATTCACAGATGTGAGCCAGATGGTCCTCGTCTCGTGAGTAGTTGTCGCCATTGTGCGGCTCGAAGAGGTAATCTCCTGTTGCTAGTTCGAAAGCCTGGAACAAACCAAAACGAGGTTTGGCAAGACGAAAACTGATCAAAACATACCATGCATGCCGTACTCCAGATATCGGCAGGAGGGCCATACCCAGCACCTATGAGCACTTCTAGAGACCGATACTGCCTCGTTTGGATATCCTCTGTGAAATGATGATGCGTCCAGCAGGCATTACCCAGATCTGCTATTTTGACCTGGAATGATAGTGAGTTTACCGACAAAGTATCAAGCTAATTTTGCTACCTCTATGTCAGCGTAGGGGTCGTTCAAATTCGGTCCCACAGGAGGAGTTGGAAGAACAGCTGGAAGCTGTTGCGCTGAGAAAGGATTTGTGGGTGATAATGGCGTATCGGAAACTAAATTCGTGAACATTTGATCGAAAGGAGCTATGCAAATATAAAAAGCACACTATTTAGTCAAGAAGACTAATGAACTTACAACCAAATGCGCGATTAGTATCAATAGCATTTCGCAGTTCCGTATCGCTTGGAGGACTCAGACTAGTTCGATCGATAGGTGCAGGGCTGAGTACCTAAAGAATAAAATACCTTGGACGACAAGAAACAATCATGAGCTACGGAACAGCAAAAATCAAAATCTTTTGCAGTGAATATGTCAAATAGAATCGAGAGACTGTGCGACACTTTTTCTTGGTAACCAATGAATACAGCAAATTACGAATATGCATTATGCACAAATTGAAGCCTTTGTCATATTTTCTTTCGAAACCTTGACTAAGTAAAACATAAAGTACCCTGCTTTCACTTGATCAGCATGAACACACTAAAGATTCCGCAAACAAAAGACTCTATCAAGCGACCATCTCGCAACGTACAGTGGTGCAGCCGAGCTGCTTGCTTGAATTTTTGAAAAAGATGCGTCTTGTGCACGTGAAATTAGAGTGAAAGATGTATTGAAGGAATTATTAAAGACAGAGAAAAGCGCCTCGTCGACTAGAACGTTCTACAAATGAAAGGCAAACGACTTGGAAAAAATCGAGTCTGAATAAAAAACCACAGGTCAAAAAAGTTCATTTGAAAGAATCAGAGTAGTCAATATTAGCCAACGTGCTGTATATGAAGAGATTTCTCGATATGTCCAAAGTGACTGATGAGCTCCAAAAATATAGACAAATAGTCCCTATCAAACATATTCACTCATATTCACCAACTGTAAGCTCAAAAAACATTCTTAGCTGCAAAGTACTGACCTGTTGAAGAGGTGCATTCGGTTCACCTTCAACATCACTAATGTCTTGCACAATAGTGGCAGTCACTCCGTCTCCTTCCTGAAAACAAGTTAAAGTTAGCATAGACTTTTACAGATTTTCAGTCTCCATCACAGATCTTAGCAGCAATAACTGAGAAACTTTACACAGAAGCTCTACTAAACTATTTTAGCACGAGATCCGTAATGAGACCTGAACTCCAAAACAACGATTGTTACAGCACTATTCACAGATGCCACGTTAACACTGCACCTAAGAAGTGCTGCACCACAATTCACGCACGTCACACTGCGATTGATAAGACACACTATGAGTTCGAGGATCGATGGTCACAGGATTATGAGCGAACCGAGAGACAAAGGAGTGAGCAAATCATGCTCACTTTGTTCGAAGATATGATAAGCGTGCACAGATACTTGTGTTCAAAAGTGCGACCACACCACTCGTGTCTCTCTACCTGTTGCACCGAATGGTATGTGGGATTGCAGAACATGGCTTGCTGCATGCCACAGTTTTGCAATAACTGTGGCACCGGGCCTGAGGGTGGGCTTTTCATCAACGTTGGTGGTGGAGGATTCCCATAGCTTCGCGCAGAGTTCTGCCAACCACATAATACAGGGGATTCAAACAAACTTATTCTTGTTCTCAAATTAATAGACCTGAAACCGCACTGCGGAGTTGCTCACCACATTGTCGTGCTGATTTGCTGAACTAATGATCGCGAGGTTGATATCATTTGCATAAACAAACAATACAAATTATTCTTCCATTCATTGCCTTCTCAGTTCAAAAAAGAGTTTCAGCTAATTATCACTCGTCGCTAAGTCACAATTCAATTCTTGACATTTATTACAACTCAAGTAAAAGCTAAATTATGTTTTACTAGCAACTCCGCAGGCTCAGATGTCTACCCATGTAATAGAATGACTTCTGCTACTGCAAGATATTAAAAAAAACTCGAAGGGAACTTACCGGGGCACTGTTCAAAACTTCTTGTATTGCGGTAGGATCGACGGTGAGCCCTTCCATTTGAGCAAGCTGAGACTCAAGAAGTTCACGCTGCTTTTTCGCCTTCTTCTTGAGCTTCTTCTTCTTGTTTTTAGTCATATTTTCTTGTACCTGGTAAAAATAATCAATATATATACATTGGCAAATGACATACGCCTCGTTGACTCAGGAAAACAAGTATAAATTTTGGTTCATGATACATAAATAACATCATTTGCAACTAACAAATTTCTCATTCAAAGTAGCAGCTGCTCACGAAAAAATAAAGACGTTGCGTCAGAAAAAAAAGGTGGAAATATAACAGCAATGAAAATAAGAAGTGTACTGGATTAATATAAAAAGAAAACACCTCGCAACTCAGAAGAAACTTTGGACTAAAAAGAATCTAAACTCACTCTCATTCATTTTTTGAGGCAAACTGACTAGAAAACCGCGCGCCAAAAATGACAAAACTAGTTTGAAGTTCAAAAATATTACAAAAAAAAACGAAGCTGACTTTCTTTTGCACATGGCTGGGTGCTGTGCTAACTGCTGACCCGCTTAACTTCAGATTCATTTTCGTAGCCACAACTGCGTGTTGTGCCATGAGCTGAAAAATGAAATGGAGAATGAAACTTTTGAACAGCGAAACCTTACCTTCACTTCTTCGTGACTCATTGTAACTAATACATTTTCCGGTTTAATGTCAGTATGGATGATTTTGCTTTTTTCATGCATATATTTGAGACCTTCGAGTACCTTGAAGAAGGTGCATGTGTGTAACAACAAAAGGACATAACGCGTATTGCCATTGAGGCGCAGAGGAAGATATACCTGCTTAGTGATTTTCCGTACTTGTTCGAGAGGCAAACCTTGATAGTTTGATCTGATTATTAGTTTGAGGAGGTTACACCCAAGAACCTAAATCTATGTGTCGTGAAATGACGACACAGCAACACAGCAGAGAAAGAACCGACCTCAAACACCATGCAAGTGTGCACGCCATTGACACCGCTGACTGTGAACTCGTCGAGCAGTTGTACAACTCGTTGACAACCAGGATCTTCTGGGTCTGCTTCGCGCACAGCGAGTAACAACTGAAATTTACGAAAAATTCATACATTCAAAAAAATACTTGAACACTGGCATTACCTTGATTTCATCTTGAGCAGCTTCAGTATAATGGTCAGCTGACTTGACAATCTTCATTGCAACGAATCGTTTGTCTTTGGTATCCCAGCATAACCACACGGTAGAGAAATGACCCCATCCCAACTTGCGAATTACATGGTACCTGCATGAAGTTCATGCGTGAAAATTGGGCAAGAATTTCGTGTTATGTTTCATCTCTTTGTGCGCGCGAACTTTCATTAGCTTTTGTTTAACAGACACGCTTGCTCATCAATGAAGGTATGCGGGCATCAACGCAAATTGGTAGAAAGCAGCAACTCGAACTTCAGTTAAATCACGCGTATGACTTCAAGATGCCAAGGAGGAATCATTGTAAACATTTGGTACAAAAACGCATGATATTGATCGAGCAAACAGATAGAAAACGATTGAATAACGCCGTCATGGAATATACTCAATGACGGAACAAGACGGATTTTACAAACCGCTAACGGCAACCAAAATCAGCAGTCATAAATGCATCACGTACGCAATACAGTGGAGTGTTCAGAACTCGGAAAAAATTATTAGCAAAACCACAGTAAGATATACGGCAACTGGCTAGTGCTTCGCATATATGTGAAGGACATATGCTCTACGGTCGTGAACTTTTATGGTACTGCAAAAGCAACTGTTACCTCCGGTTGAAGACATCACCAATATTCACGGGATGATAGCCACCACGCCTATAATCACGCGGATCCTCTTGCTCTTCGTCATCCGATCCCAACACTTCTTCCTGGACGGCCTTAAAAAGAAAATTGGGATAACCGCATTGATATTCTGAACTTGAATAAAGTCATAAAAACCAACTGATGCCAAAGCGGAATTTTCTTAGCGAGATCAACATTTGGAAAAAGATATTGGAAAATAAAGGACTTTCTCCGAAATGACATTAACACTTTCAAACTTTACGGGAATCCCATACACTGGAAGTCATAAAACTATTTGATAAAATCCCTAGGCAAGTCAACGTTTTGCGCACAATTTTTGGATGTGGTAAGTAAAATCCCTTATAAGTTACACTCAGCATGTAAGTAAAGCAAAGAAATAAAAACGGTGTGCGCACGGTGAACATGTGGCGCTATGCGTCAATATTCCTTACACTGACCTCAGAAGTGAATGGCAGCATCAATGAGAGAATTGACAGCACCATGCGTTAGACGATACATATATGACACAACGAGCACAGAACATTCAATTTGTACAATTTCAAGTTTTCGTTTTCGCATTGTTATTGATTCCTCTTTCACAAAAGAGTTATTCTCAGCACTTGTCGAAATGAGTATCACACACAGCACGCTACCGAGAGAACTTTCAAGCGACGGCGAAGGCTGTAAAGACTGACGTACCCTGCGAGCTTATGCGAAATCAAACTACCATAGTTTACAGATGTGGCTCTCAAAAACTTGGAATTTGAGTAATATGTACTTCAAATTCAAAAAATATGTGTGGTGTCTTCATTGGTGATATCAAGAAAATACTACACTTACGACTGAACGAAAGCGAAGCTCTGTGTCAACATGCGTCCAACGCAGATCCAGTCAGTATTTTTGCTACATAGTAAGCGCTATCCAAACAACTAAGAAGCAGGATCCATTACAGTATGGAAAGCAGGCTAGAAGGCTTTGGATTATTTAAATCTGTCAGCACTATAACTCGTTCACGATATGAGCGCAATGCTTACACATGATTCCTCAGCAATGCAAAATCGATAACACACAAAGTAAAAGAGCTCAAGGATACGAGCTAACACTCAGCTATTAGGGAAATTCTCATGATACACAAAAAATGCTTTCGCATACTGCAAATATAACTTTAAACTAAAGTTATGCATTGTTGTGTAAGAGCTAAAAACTCTAATCAAAGGGAATATACTGCACATCAAGAATGTGGGTGTATGTCAAGAGGCGCGATTTTTATTGCCAGCTGGGCACCAAATAGCACATAATCAGTGTTTTACAATTGTCTAAGAGTATATGAAATCTGGAAGAAGATATATTAGATGGCTGCATGGGTTGTACAATCTTACTACTCTGGAAAAAAATTCAAAACAGCAATTTTGAAGGTCAAAAACCCATAAAAATGCATTTAAGAACAAATTCGTAAATAACTCAATCCGTTTTATAGCAACATGGAACTAAGTAAATGATTACCTCAGAGAGATAGTAAGCTAATGCACTTTATCTGGTATTTCTTAAAGACTCGCATAGCACTAAATTGGAGTTTTGAGTTAATGACAGCCGGAGAAATCGCGCCTCTTGACCGTCTCCCCAAGAATGTAAGTTACGAGACTACATGCTGGCTAAAATCTCAAGACACATCCCACTGCATTAAATCGGAGCGCCATAGGATAGTAAGAGAAAATGAGTTATATGAGCGCAAGGTAGCTTACACACAAAAACTGGGCGCGCGAGGTAAAGTGTTCATTTAACTCAAGTCATGCACATAATTGTCAAGAAAGGTGGAAGCTTCGCCGCCAAGCAAAAAGTCGACGCAGAAGTGAAAGCGCTTACTGGTTCTCCATCTTCGCTTGAGCCACTTCGGTGTCCAGCTGATTCGCTACCTGGACTACCAGACCAGTTGTTATATTCTTCACCAGGTTTGAAATTCTGAATTGACACAGGCTTTGTCCATGGACCAGCGTTTCCATAGTATCCTTCCGGAACGCCGAAGGGAACTGGAAAAATCGAAGGCATGCACCAGAGAAGACGCTGAGATTCCTCTCATTTACACAGCTTCGAAAAGCAAAAGTAGCACTGCTTGTAATAAGTCTATTGATCCAATAACAAACTCAAATCACACAATCTATTTCGTAACCTGCGCCTAACGCTCGCTACTTGTTCTGTAACAGCTGCTCGAAAAAGTGCTTGTTGAGTACAAATGGTGCAGCTAATTGCTACGCTCTCTCAGAAGACAAGCTTCGACAAATTCGCAACTCACGATGAAAAAGTACTACGAAGATTCGCGAAAACTACAAAATCAACAAAAGTATAAAATCATTGAATTCCACAAACCTTGATAACAGTTATCATCAGTTTTCGATTTCTTCATGATCGTATTACCATTTGGCGTTGTATTCTCTACGTCACTGGAATCACTCACTTCAAACAGATTTTCTAAGACATTTCTGTAAATCAAAGCTAGACATTTGCAAGAGGAAATAAGTACCGTTTCGGCAAAGGCATTGTCAGAAATGTACTATTGCCGTCTTCAGCAGGGCTTGAATATGGGTCAGATGACTTCTCACTGTAGGGAAATTCACTAGAGGATACAAACGACTCCTCATCTACACTATAACAATCGCTGAATTCTTCTTGACTATCGCATTGCAACGAAACTGTGTACGAAGTATGAAGCAGTGAATGATTGATGATCCCATTTTGTTTGGTCAACTCAGGCATGCTGTAAGATGCAGGTAGAGAGACTGTAGCCTCAAACTCATTAGAGTAGCACGGTGTGAAAACAACGGAAATTTGGTGCTCAGCAGAACCGTCGTTTTCACGACACGCCCAGTCGTCCAAATCTGACTGGTCTTCATGTGTCGTGTTGCATTGTTTATGCGCCAAACGACCGTTTGCAATAATTACAGACTGATCATCATCGACTGCGTAGTCGGTCCACGAAGGGCCGAATAAAATGGAATTAAAGCGTGAGCAAATAGCAGGAATACCAAACTGTAGAGGCCTCGATTTATTGCTCTGGTCACTGAGCGGCTCTTTCGAACCAAAGACGGCATTTTTGAAGTCGGGATTGAAATCTGGGGAGTATGATGGATGGAAGCTGTCCGAACTGTCGACTGACGCGGACCTCGACTTCAACGCCAATGACTCCTCGTTAAGTGCATCCGCACTAGTGCCTGGCTCCGTGAAATTGTCACCTCTACCTGGTTGCGCGGGTGAAAGCCATCGATAAATCCATGCGACAAACATGACTAGCCAGGCGAAAACATCAATATAGTCATCAGAATCGATCTGTGGCGAGCTCAGCCTGCGCTAGGATAGAGGAAGGGAACACCTGACGGTTTTGATTCCAACTAACAGGTGGCCAAAGCTCGACGGGGCGGTCCCAGGCGACACCGCGGCCAAGTCGACGCGACGGCCGCTGCTGGGCTGGAGCTAACAAGAGACGGGAACAATTGAATTTTATGCACTCCATTCCGAAATGCCGCCTGCCGAGCTACTCAAAATTGGAACAGATACTTGTAAGAAATACAGTCTCAAATTCATCAGATACCGCAAAAAGAAATACACAAAGTGTTCAATGCACTGCACGTAAAAAGCAGCACTTCGTCACTTGATTGATTTTCTAGCGCAGCTCATGGTGTAGCGAGAAGAAATGCCTGGATATTATAGCTGCTCAGCATCAAGGGAGCAAGCATGCACCTATGCACGCGAAGTTTCTAATTTTTTCTTTGCTTTCTGCAATGGATTTCAAAGATGTTGAGAGATTGAACTAATGTTGAGGAGAATGTTGCCGTACAGATACAAACAGAAACGTCCAACTCACTCGAATTCCAAGGCAGGAGTTTCGTGGTTTCCATTCATTTGGTTTGACGAACCATTCGTGGGTGGCGCTGGTGGTATTTTCGGTTTGTTAGCCTATAGCAGAGAAGTGTGTAATCGATAACCATTACTGATATAATACTAACAGTCACAACCACCAAACAACAATGGGGTACAATCGCATACGCACAGCAAAACTTTGCCCAAAATTTATTATACCAGCAAATCACCAAAGCTGATTAAGCAAAGTAAAGGCAATAGAAACTGATATAGAAAACGAAAGATAAGCAACGATTCTATACATGCTGTAATCACTTTGAAGAGTTATAGCAGAGTAGCAACAGAGTGTCAATACGCCGATACGTGCAAAAAAAGGTAAGATAAATTCGAAACACCTCCTCGTAACTGTCAAAGTTGAAAACTGGGATGGGCAAAGATAAGATGAAAAGATCAAAGCGAAAAGCACGGCATTCATGGGAAGCGTATGGATCATGGAGGAGAAAAGAAAAGGTCTCACGCAACACAACAACTACAACAACGTTTCAACGTACCTTTTTCTTGTTGTTCTTTCTCTTTTTCTTTTTTTGTACAGCAATGACTTTCTTTTCATCTCCACCCATTGTCTTCCCTGCGAAAGAAGGAATCCTCTCTCTAAATTAGTGGTTGAATACCGATGAGAAGGGCGACGAAAACAGAAATGCGATATATGTCAACAAGTTTGAGAAACGAGTCGCCGTGATTAAGCGACGACGTTCGGAGTATGTGATGACGGGTGCAGCAGCAAAAAACAATGATGCAGGAAGAGACGAGGGTAACGGCTAGAATGAAACGGGGCGGATGAAGATTATGTAACGGAGAAGTGATACTCCCGAAGTTCACAAACGCTTACTGACGAGCAAAAAACCGGTGAGAACGCAATCGCACACGTGCCAGAAATAGCCGAGTCGAGGTGGCCCACGTCACGACAAGCGCCGCTCGCACGCCACTTCCCCAGAATGCACACGGAATCCCTCGAAGCAGCAGAAATCGTCCACGCTTCCGCAGAAGGACAGCGCCACCTGCGACCAGTTCAGCATACTTTCAAAATCGATCGGCGCCTAGATTCGCAGGCGAGCCGCAGCCAGCCTACGGTAGCGAGGGTCGTCGTGCTGGCCGCTTGCCAGCCCCTCCTTGTCGTGGACTTTATCGCCAGAGATCGCCGGACCTCCTTTGATCCTATCGCGCCATAGTTCACGGGTTCAGTCCGTCCCGTCCACCCTGATCACCTTTTGATACAGCGGCTTCCTGATTTACACTTCCTAATTCCGTTAGAAAGCCACGTATTCAAATTTTTCAGAGACGAATTCAACAACAAGTGAAAGTGTGACATGACGAGCAATACCAATAAGAATATCATAACTAGGAAGATTGCTTTAATGGGTTATCCATGCGTTGGTGAGTCTTGCTGAATCTGTGCAATGAACTTTGCTTTTTAAACATGTTTCGAGATTATTAGCTTAAGATTGACTTACTGTCATCGTCCCTGTTTATGGAAATAGTAGCTTTTAATTGTTGAATTTTGAAAAGCTGATGTCTTTCTGCTTGACTGATTTTTTTTTTGATTTCAGGGAAATCTTCGATAACATTGCGTTTTGTCCAGGGAACCTTTCCAGATGCTTACGATACTACTATAGAAGACCTACACACTAAACCTTATCGATGGCTTGGGCGCGACTATAACTTGAGAATTACAGGTACCCATGGTGAAACTGCTTTTTCTTTTGTATTTACCCTAATTTCACGCGTACAAGGCGCGGGGTGGTCCTAGCTTTCATCGAGCTCTTCAGCCGCCCCAACGTGTTTTAAGAAGCGATCCTTATGCTGCACGATTCGTCAGGCAAAAGCAGCACGGCATGGGGTTCCTTTGGTTGCGAAGTCCTTTGCCGTGTTCGGGCTGGTCGATGAAAGCTAGGACCACCCCGCGCCTTGTACGCGTGAAATTAGGGTAGATTATGTGATAGTTTTGTAAGTTCTGATTTGTAATAGTCATAATTCTGATTCATGCAGCTGACCGGCACTGCAAACTTAACCAAATATTTGATCACATTTTTGCAACGCTTGCAGGCTGAACCACATATTGAAAATTTGAGTGGTTTTTCCTACACGCTTGAATTTTCTCATTTCAAGAGTAGTTTCGCCAATAAATGGACAAATATGTTCCATCGATTTTTGACAACAATGCATCATTATCATCGCAATTTATGTGTGGCATTCGTCATCAGCTCGCTCAGCCATTCTCTCTCCATGCAATGTTTGAATGTGTTAACCATGATGACGCCCTAAACAGTTTCTGCACTTGTCTCTTTGGTTATGAATCGCTGATTTGCTCGATAAATCGCGTACTGATTTGCTCGATAAATCGCCGCGCATCGAATTTATGATGCTTGTTGTTGTGGCTTTTCCTGTCAGGGAATGCTAATCTACCATCCATAAGCGCTTTTTGGAGGCGATATATCATGCTCAAAAAGACAAAGTATCCATTATAGTCCAGGAAAAGTATTGGATAAATCGTTCAATACAAATTTAGACACCGCCGGTCAGCAAGAGTACTCAATATTCCCGCGTAGTTGTTCTGTGGATATCGATGGATTCATTTTGGTTTACGCTATCGACGACAAAAAATCGTTAGTTTGAAGTAAAGTATTTGTGGAATGGTCCACCTTAATAATTGGGATGAGATTTTTCTTTCAGTTTCGAGATCATCCAAATTATACATGACAAGATTATGGAAACTATAGGAGACGATAAGTAGGCGTTCCAACTCTTATGCATTAGTCTTTCTGTTGAGCATATCCAGTTGTTTAGGGTGCCCATTGTCATTGTTGGCAATAAGGTGGACCTACAGCACGCCTCTCGTGTGGTAACAAAGGAGGAGGGCGCGAAGTTGGCGCAGAAATGGAAGTGTGCCTTTATAGAAACTTCAGCAAAGGACAACACTGTATGACCATCTCTTGAAAAATTGTCTGCGTTTTCATATCTTTCATTTACAGGCTGTGCAACAGATTTTCGACAAAATACTGCATCAGATTGAAGTTGCTAGAGGTAATATTACCGAACAAACGGGTGGCAAATGCACGATTTCCTGAATTGAAGCTCGTTTTCCACTTTGTTTACTAGTCTTCGTACCATGTTGATCCAGCTTGTATATATTACAGAATTAGTTATTGCTTACCGATAAGGTGATCAAAGTGCTATTTATAAACGTTCTTTTCTTTCTGACGCTGCCTTTCTTAAGGCGGCTCATTTTATATGATGCTTAAATTTTATGGACTCTGCAGCGACTTTCTTCGTTTTCACGTTTGTTTGTTTTTGGAACGTTCCGCACTGTACATAACATTGTTAATACCGATTTGATTAAATTTCTATGTTTGTTCTGTCTGTTTCGATATGGTTCGCACCATTTTCTCTTTGTTATCGATCTCACCCAACCGTACATGATGCTGTGTGCCTGATTTCTTTATCATGTTGTCAATACATATACTTAGATGATGTCTGATGGTGGTCAGATATTTCAACCAACTGCTGCTGCGCGGTCGGATCTTCCTCCGGTTTCGCCAACGGGTAGGCTAACTTTTTTTTTTTCGGATACTGAACTATCGCTGGATTGTTATAGAATTGGTTGGTTGGTTTCCTTTCGACTCGCTACCACAAATTGATTTTAACATTTTCGCTCACTGCATCAGCAATGCTTTGTGCTCTTATCACATGTGCAAAGTGTCAAATAGCTGAAGTCAAATAGGCTAGTTGATGTATCTCTCGCATCGTTCTCTTAATAGCATCATCCTGCCACTTTATTGTGACCGAATCTTACCTCCAAGTTGTTTGAATAGTGACCATTATGGCGCTATGCATGCACGCAGATTATCGCGAGATTCCTCATTTTCGCAAGGAACCATAGTAAGTTGAACAACATCATCACTGTACGCTTTCATTTCTGCTTGAGTTCGTCAGACCATCGTCGCCTTCTTCCCACATCCGTTTCTAAGATCAAAGGTTGAAAGTGTTCTTCTTGGGTCTTAAGTCCCTTTTTTTGTCGGTTCACGTATCGAAAGAGAATGGACAGTGGGAAATTCGCGTACATTACATCATTACATCTACACAAGGTGGAGAACCATTTTAATTTTTCCTGTTGTATTGTTTCGGTATTGAATTTTGGTGTTTATGGTCCTCGTATCGCTTGTATACTAATTTTTTGTCTTCATGATTCTGGGTGCACCAATCAACCGTGATTGGAGTTCAAAGCATGGAACACATTGGGTCCTTTCACATCCGTTACTAGTGTAACCTGCTCAACTTGATACTGGTTGTGAGCAACCGGCATGCGGCTGCTTGTCTCATATTTCGCCTAGCATCGAGGACCTTTAGTATGGGGATCAAAGAGCACAAGTAGTGTTGATAGAATGTTCTCAGAGTTGCTCTTGTACAATGTGTAGAGGCTGTCTGACTTTATAATCTTTAAGGAAGTAGCATTTTTGCAATTTTTCTAAGAAATCGTAATTTGAGAATATCACTGAGATGTTTTTAGGCACTTCCGATGGTATAGATGTCATGAGTCGCTTTCCAAATTTACCGAAGATGGCGGAAGCAGTGGGCAAGTCAGTATTTACCCTTCTTTTTTCTGAAGTTTTAGTGCCTGAGCGCTTGTTAATCAGATAAACTTTTTTCTCTCCATGTAGCCAACTGAGCAATCCTTATCGATAGAGTACAAATCAATCATACTTCCAGCGTAGATGTGGCGGCGAAAGTTGAGTCGCTTAAGAAGTGGACGATTGGTACTTTCAAAAACTCCAGGCAGCAGCTTTTAGAGCATATGGGCAAGGTGAAGTTGGTTGATACCTTCGCAGATCATATGGTTTTCAAAAAAAAAATTCCGCAAGTCTGTGCCAGTTTATAGTATTAGGTTGCAGATAGACAAGACAGTAGACGCAGATTTCGAGAAAGAATGTGAAAATCTCAAAGAACTACATAAAAGGTGTGAATTACGCTAGAAAGGCATGCGATTTTCATCTGTTTGCTCTAGGTATGGTAGCGTAGTTGCGGCTTCTCGAACGTTCACCAATGTGCTTACACAACTTTCTCAGGCGGAGAGAAATTTAGCTGAATCACTGCAGTTGTTATCGGACAAGGAAAGTGCTGTCAAGGTATGCATTTCACTGTCAGCAGTTGTATCATACATGTAATGAATCAGTGCAAGCACTTTGTTTAGACGCAAGTTGCCACAACATCTGACTCCATGCGACGTTGTTCTGAACATGCAACTGCGTTGGAAAACTGCCTCCGTTATTTCCTTTCGTCTATAGAAACACTCCACGGAAAAACCATAGTGGATACATTGGAGACCATCTATGTTACTGAAGCGGTAAGATTTCGTTGAGACTCATTGCAAACAAACTATATGTAAAGTGATTGCCAGGTTCTCATTGAGCTTTTTTCTCAGAATTTTGTGCTTTAAGGGTTGAAGGATATTTGGCAGTGTTTTACCACTCATAGACAGAGCGTAGCTTTTCTAAAATCTTAACCGCAAAGACGGTTGTTAAGACTTTTAGTTACCGAACCAATATTGTTTTGAATGATGTGCATGTGGGGACTGGAAGTCATTATTTGCTTCCGTCACCTATTCGCACTTCTTTTTCAGTTCTGCATGGTTTAAGCTTCTCAAGCTTCAAAATCTCTTTAAAAAATACTAAAAAAGCATCACGAGACTCTGCAGCTATATCGGGATCTCCGCCATGGATATCTGATATACTCATGAATTGTTTTTGCATTTGCTTTTTGCAGCAACGTATCACTTTTCAGGCGCGTATCGAATTTGACGTTTGCCGTCATGAATTAGCTGCTCTACAAGCTCAACCAACTGCGAGCCCTACCGCAATTCAGCAAGCTTCAGATCGGGCTAGCCAGCAACGCGATAAGTATGAACGATTGAAGGAAGATGTTCGAGTAAGCCATTCATGCTTATTTTTCGCTTAAACAAGATGTTTGTTTTTGTAGGTGAAACTTCGTCTACTCGAAGAAAACCGAGTTCAGGTTGTGTCGAAACAATTAGAAAAGCTGCAGGGGGCACTGGCAGCTTACTTCTCAGGAAATGCTGAATTATTAGCCTCTTCTGTTGCTGAGCTCTGTGCTCTGTCTGTACCCACATCTTCACTTCTTTTGTGAAAACACTATGTGAACAAGGCCAGATGAGCAAGTTTTTCTCAATTATATATTCGTGTCTTACCTCGTCTTTCTTGCACCTTTACATTCGGCTTATAATTTCATTTCATCGGGATGGTCATTGTTGCATGCAAGCGCATCGTTGTTGTTACACAGCATTTGATAATATTCTCCAAAATCTATTGTATCCATCGCTTTTCGCTAACCGTCAATGACGACGGCACCCCGTTATGTATCAAACTTAATATTTCTGTGATATATAAATTATGTGGGATCATCCCATTTTTGAGTTCAAAATAGTAGCATTATTTTCGTTGGGTAGTTTAATACATGCACTTGGATTGGGTCTTATTAGATTTTACTTGCTCACTGTACTTCAATGCAATATAGAACTCAATTTACGCTATGAATAAATTATTTGAACCACTTTATTCGTTGCAGACACGCAAAGACCTAGGTGTATATATACTTGGCACCCGACCAGAAACCGGCATGAGTCCGTTTTTAGGCTTTCTGAAAACGAAGTTCTCTCTGACCTTTGCGAAATTTTACGAAGTCTCCTTTGACCCTTTTCGGAAAGGCGACTAAAAAGCTAACCTAACTTATGCTTTTCGAACCCATAAACAGATTCTTCTTAAGCTTTTTCGCCCCGAAAACGAAGTCTGTCCTAACTTCAAACAATCTGTAGGAGGGGACGTAGGAGTTCCTAGCATCTCCATTCGCACAAGCATTCACACTCCAGTGGCTCCTCGCACTTTCGCGCAGACTCAGACAAATCACCGGGACTTCCGCAGGACAAGCCAAATTTGCAGAAGTTCCGCAGGAGTTTGTTCACTATTGCAAAAATGAAAAAGTCAAAAATTGGAACTTCTCTTGGAACAAAATTGAAAAATTGGAATTGGATCTTCAAGCCAAACTGGTTAAAAACCGGAACTTCTGCAGAACCTTCTTCAAAATCCTGCGGAAATTCCGAAAATTGCCAGAGGCTCCCAGCACTTTGCTCTGCCAGAACTTCTGCAGCACTTTGAATGTGTTGTCTCGTGATGTTGCCTCGCCAATAACTAGAGTGCATTACCGAACATGTCAGCGTAGCCTAGAGGATAGTAGATGGGTCTCACAGTCAATAGAGTGAGGTTCAAATCTTGCTCCGGTGTTCCCTTTTGCTGTCATTCTTCGGAACAGAACTTCATTTCGGATTCCGCAGCACGTTTACGGAACTTCCGCAGGTGACCCGGCGGAACTTCCACAAGCGCTCTGCGGAAGTTCCGGTCATTTGTCTGGGGAGGTCAAGCCCCGCCCATCGCTCCACGTCTTTACCTCATTTGGAACATGCGGGCTGTGGAAATAGCATAGACATACAAATGCAAAAATTCGTGAAAAATGTGCTTGCAAGGCAATCTCCCTTATTATTGCCCTTTATAAGCATTTGACATCCCAAAAAAGGCCTTACAGTCCTCAAAATAAGTACTGATTTATTTTTTTATTGGTACAAAGAAGGTAATTTTCTCTGCAAAGCAGTATTTTTCACAGGTTTTGTCTCTACATTAGCATAGATTAAAGCTTGTCACGTTAACGCATTACTATGAACGCTTCTTGAGGATAACCATGGGCACTTTTTGGTATATACTATTTCCAGATTCAAAATTACGAGTTTTGAAGTGCAATATTTGGAAGCTTGTTTCTCTGAGGATAGCCAACGGAAAGTTCAATTTGGATGACTATCTTGAAGCGCAAAACCCACTTCTTTTTGAAGAAGTCATTTTAAGTCTAGATTTTAGTAAGTTATCAAATTTCCTTCGAATTACGCAGAACTTTCACATCTATCTATAAGTTTAGTAGGCTGTGAAACTTGGGCGGTGACTAAGAACTCGCTGCTGAAACTTCTTCGATGCCAAAGAGCGATGGAACGATCAATGCTAGGATTTCGCTTAAAAGACCAAAAATCTTCAAAATGGATACGTTCTATCACGAAACTGAAAGATGTGGTGACAATAGCTCGTCGAAGAAAATGGCGATTTGCTGGAAGAATACTTGGAAGAGAAGGCGATGAAAGATGGACAGACATACTTACATGTTGGATTCCACCTACTGACCGACGTTTCGGTGATGGAAAACCAAGAACGCGATGGGAAGACGACATCCGTAAGCATTGCAAGATATATAAACCTAATTGTAATTGGCAGGAGCTACGAATGGAATGTGCTGTATGGAGAACACTTGGTGTTACATATGCGGTCCCACTACTGACATAATGAAGCCTTACATAATATCATCACGGTCTTTTGCATGAACAATGTAAACCGTTGAGAATGAATAAAAGATAAGATAAGATAAGGCTGGGTAGAATCGTTTTGGCTTGCAAATAGCACTACAAACATTTAGCTCAAAGTTTTTTTTCTGAAGTAGTACCAAACCTTTTCGAAAAAGGATCTTTACATTCATTATCATGGACACCCAAACATATCAACACAATTTTAGGGACTTTTATGTTGAACATTTATTCAAATTTCATGAAAAAATCGTTGAAAATAATTTTCGATTGTAACATGAGTCTTACTCCAAAACAGGCGACCGCATCAACCGTATTAAGTCATATTTTACATATCCCATATAGATTCTGTGATTCTGTATTCGACAAAGCAGAGCAAGCTCTACAAGGCAGTGCATTGCATTTGCGAGAAAATTGAACTACGCGAAGTTGTGACCAAAAACTAGAAAAACGCAAATGTCGGATAAATCGAAGTCGAAATTCCGCAGAAGAAATTCGGAACATCTGCAGCTTGCCAAAGATACACAATCAGACGTGCAGGGCTTATCAAATTAAGTGTCGTTTGCACCAGCATCTTCATCTTCCCGCTGAACTCTGCGTCTCTTCTGCGGTACATGCTCCCTAATCACTTCCAATCGATTGAGGCTCCGCCTTTCCCACGCTCGCCCTGGGAAAGTGCTCAGAGAGCAGCCCCGCGGAAGAGACGCAAAGTCCAGCGCGAAGATGGAGATGCTGGTGCAAACGACATTCACTTTGATAAGCCCTATACATAGTGCTGGACATAATTATAAAGCCACTCCAGAAATCGTCGTAATTTTCGTTCTTGTCAATGACTGTCTGAAACTTTGCTGTATTGTGCGCATGTCAACCTATCATGACCCTAGCTGGACAAAATTATGAAGCCACCTGGTTTTTCTAATCAATATCGCATTCGTTAGCTCTCAATTTTTTTGTACAATTCATCTCAAAATATGAAACATTTGCAACACCTACGGCCTGTCACTCAAATAGAAGCGATCACTGCATTTTTTGCTTTCAAAAGCACCAAAAGTCAATCTGCTTCAACAAACAACTGGTTTGAAGACTTTTCAAGCTCTTGTTCATTTCAAATGATAATCATGGAATCTACTGACCCTTCTGGATAGATGAGGTGAAGAGCGCTTTCGTAAACTCCTGCGTAATCGCTGATTTTGACGGACAGACTCCATCCTCACCATAGGGTTGAAATAAACCACAAAACTTAGTTTGCAATGTCCACAAAGTGCTGAACTTGATTTATTACATTGCCTACATGGGGAAGCTTTCGCAACAACTTTCAGATTTTCCCTAATGATGCGGTAGCGATTTAGACCTGAAATACTTTCCACGAAAATTCCCTGCGAGCAGAAGATTCGATACAACCTTAGATCTCCTTATTTCCGTCTGTGTTTCATGTCATATTTCACCCGATTAATGAGATTAGCTAAGATTTTGAAGTTTTAAGCGTCTCCGGTTTTACCTCGTGATCTGAGTTGGCTTTGATTGTACAGGGTGCTCCACTCAACATTCAGTGAATGTCAACTGCGGCTGAATCAGAGTGCTCAGTCCCGAAATTTCTTCCCAGTCATGCACACGAGTTCACTGTTGTATGGCTGCCGTAATGGCTACATTACAGTATTTTCTGTCCTTGAAAATCGAGTTTTGTGGTGCAAAAGTGCGTCAACCCTATGGTAAGGTTGGAGTCTGTCCGTCATAATCAGCGATTACGCAAAGTTTACTAAAGCTTTCTTCACCTTTATCCAGAGGGGTCAGTAAATTCCATGATTATATTTGAAATGAACAAGAGCTTGAAAGGTCTTCAAACCAGTTGTTTGCTGAAGCAGATTGATTTTTGGTGCTTTTGAAAGCAAAAAATGCAGTGATTGCTTCTATTTGAGTAGGATGACAGGCCGTAGGTGTTGCAAATGTTTCATATTTTATGTAATTGTACAAAAAAATGTGAGAGTCAACGAATGCGATAGTGATTAGAAAAACCAGGGCTCTATAATTTTGTCCAGCTTTCAAAGAGGGCTTTTTCGAATTTTTTTTTTTGTTTTTTCCGTTCAAATTCAACAAGACTGGAAGCCGTTTTGAGGGATCATGACAGGTTGACATTCGCATAATACAGCAAAGTTTCAGACAGATTCATTATCAAGAACGAAAATTACGACGATTTCTAGAATGGCTTTATAATTATGTCCAGCACTGTATACACTTATATCTCGGCTAGAATTCGAAAAAAGAGTTTTCTTTCTTTAGACAAAGCGGTGCCACCATACCTTCGATAGTCTAGAGACAGGGCGTCAAAAGTGAAGGTTGTTTGAACATCTGACGTCATAAATAATGAAGGTTGTTTAAAGATGATCAGAGAAGAGAAAATGACATAAAACAGATATAAAAAGCAAAAGAAACTGCTGAAAACCGGATAAAAACGCTGCAATGAGGCTTGAAATATTTCATTTGGCGGCTTTTCAAAGCGCAAGTTTTCGCTTTAGGATCAGCAATTCGCAACACGGGGTTTTGATTTTTGATGCGTCCTTTAAATTTTTACCCCCGCATTGACATTCCTGTTTCTTGGGACGTTGTCTGGATTGTTGCGCTTATTGTTCCGAGCAACAATCGCCCAAGCTGAAAAATAATCGATGCGAAAGCACTGA